TACAAACTCTAGCACAGGTGATCATCATTTGTTCTGTCAAAAGCATTTTCAATGACATGACCAGAACAATGCAGCTGTGATTACAAGGATCAGCATGGATTGAAAGATACTCAGGGCATTTACCAAAGGGATATTTATAGCAGTGCTAAAGACATTCGCTTTTTTAAACAGACTCGCAAATTCTAGGAACAGAAGATTTGAAACCAGGGTTGCTCCATTTGGTTTTGCATTTGCCATGATAGCCTGCAGAGCCACGTCCTCTCACAAATGAAGGCTGAACACGCCAGTTGAAATGTTATTGTCATGAAGTCAAATCCAAATGCTGAAGAGGAAAATTGAGATAGTATTCACTGTGAACTTTGATGTGAAGCATCACAGTTTTTGGAGGACAGCCATACCTTTGATCTTGCAGAAATTGTGAGGAATCAACCACCTTGAATCCCAATCGTTCAGCAGGTGATTTATGATGTTATACTATGACTGAAATGACTTTTCCAAAAGTCATGTAACGAGCAAAAAAAAAAAAACCAAAAAACCAAAACCAAACAACAACAAAATAAATACAAAAATTTAACAAAAATTTAAGCAGTTCTGGTAGCGTGCAATGTAAAGTTCATAGCAGACTCTTAATTTTCTGGAAGAAACTCTGAGACACCCAAGCTTCAAAATTAGCCTGCCTGACTTCTAACAACACTGGAGTAGACAAATGCAGCCATTTGGGTGCTTTGACTAATAGACTATGCTTTGTCTATGCAGATAGGCACTGGGCTAGGATCATGTGAGGCAAAGAGAAGGCAGAGCCTGATGGAAGGAGCATCTCCTGATGGTAGACTAGCTCCCTAAAACCTTCCTTCGGCAGGAAGGAGAGGACAACAGCTGCAAGGCAAAGGCTGCCAACTATAATCCTCTTAATTAATGGATAATTATCAAGCAAGGTGGTTAACAAGAGCAGGGACCGTGATTACTGTAAAGGGTTGCCCTGTGCATACCCATCCCTCCTTCCCTGGTGGCTTGGGAAGTTGTCACTGGCAGCACTGCTGCAAACCCTGGTGGCACAGCCACCGTCAGGCATGTGGGGTGGTCCCTCCAGGACACAGCCTCTGGTAGCTGCCAGAGACACTTCCCTGAGCAGCTTGTGTGAGGACAGAGAGAAGTGTCTGGGGTTTGGCATCTCCTACTAGCAGAGCCTGGCACCTCATGTCCCCCACACTGCTGTTGAGATGGCTCCACAGATGGGCTGCTCTCATGCACCCTCAGCCAGCAAATGAAGTTCACTTGCAGCTTGCCTGGCCTTTCCAAATGGCTGCATTTTGTTTATGTTAAAGAAAATGTTCCTGAAGCACATTCTACTGTTTTCCCTGAGGTAGCCATAGTATGGGTGCTCACAATCCAGAAAACACCAAGCAAGGTAGATTTTATGTGCTGACCCACACTTAAGATTAGAATTCTTTTACCTCAGTTAGTGATTCCTCCTATACCAGAAGTGAGCAGAAGCTTTAGATTTGAGATATCTTGTTTTAATGGTGCTCAATGAAATTAACTCCGAGATCAATGTGAGCAAGAACAGAGCTGCTTAAATAACTGTGTTACAGTTGTGTGGCCAAACTAGAAAGAGAAAAACAAAGACCATGTCTTTAATCGAGAAGAGAGGAAGGACTCTTTCATTATACTTTCCTTCAGCAATTATTTTAAGCTCTTCTTTCAGAGCATAAGCAGTACCCATAATGATTTTTTTTCAATGTAGAACTGAATCATTCAGTGAACTATTTTTTTTCAGACAGAATATAATCCCTGAATTCTGTTTAACCAAGATCCGTCAATATTTTCATACAAACTATTTGGTGGATATAGAATATTCAGAGTCACTTAGCTCTAGTTAAAACATAAGCTTCTTACAAACATACGTGTCATGGATTATATTGTCTTTTTTAGTCTTAACTTATTTTAATTTGAACCACAGGTTGTGAATTTCCTTGTGATGAGTATTTGTTCCTTGTAATGTCAGACTTGTTATGTTTCTTGAGGCTGTGGATCTATCTTCCCAGAGAATTTTGCTGGCTTATGTCTCAAATTTTTGAAGAGTCTTTTTGGATAAAATGACTACCTGTATCCTACAGCAAGTAGGTTTTGATGTCATGGCTTTTTTTCCTTTTTATTTTTGGAGATTTGCAGAATAGAGATAAAATTTAGTAATAAAATTTCTCAGTGCTTTGAGATTCTCCTGCCATAAAGCTCCCTGCTAAAATACGTGGTAGGCATGTCTTAAGAGAAATTATATGCAGGAACATGACTCGATCAGCATCCCAGTGAGATACAGGATATTTTTTAGCTAGGGAGTTAATGGATGATGATACTATATTTGGCCAGCAAAAATAATGACACACTTTCCCTGGTCTACAAGAACTACTCCCACATTGATTTTAACTTAATATCTCCCTCATTACGAACCTGCACAGAAGTTTGGCAGAAATACCCAAGACACTTACTGGATCATTCTCTGGTAATAATAGATACTGCTTTTTTTCTGAGAATGTACAGGCTGGGGTAATCATAAAAAGGATAGCCTTGAAACAAAAGCTTTTTACAAAATACAGATTTTTATCAACTCCATCACTGTTGAGGTTAAATATTTTATGGAGCTAAATAAAACTCGGACTTCTCCACTTTCGCATTGTGGGATGCAGTAAAAGCTTAAGAGCCTGATTCACCCCACTGCCGAATGACATCCATTACGCGTCACATGCCCTTCACTTTACAGTGGACTCTGGCTCTCATATGATCAGATTCCCAAAGCCCAGGTAACTTGATATACAATTTCAAAATGGAAAAGTCCACCCCAATAACTGGGAGTGGCTCTTCTGGGGACCTGCTGTGATTGAAGAACTGGATGCACATGCTCACTGGCCAAAATGCCATAAAGCACTCATGGTTTTCCTCAAATTGAACCAAGCACTTAAATATCTTTCTACTTAACAAAGCATCTGCATTAATTCCATTGAACTGTATAGGATGTAAGTACTGGCATAAGTGCTAAACTCAGGCCTTGGATATGTCAAGCCAAATAACCGCTGCCACTTGAGTGCTGTAAGCCCTTCTGATGGGATAATGAAGGTATCATCAGGCTCATTCCATGCCTGGGAGACCAGGAGGACAGTCAGTTGATTGCTCTTGTAGCTAAGAAAGTGACAAAACTATTTAACGGTGACACAATTGAGACTAATAACCTGACTAATAAAGCATTGCCTCATTGTTTTTCTTTTAAGCGCACTCGTGAAAATTAAAGCTCTGGGTCTGAGGTATGAAACCATTATCTATACAACAGCTCACAGAAAGGGTTATCTAATAACATGAGAAATCTATTAGACCCAGTGGAAGCAAGAACTAAAGGAAATAAATCATGCAATAATGGTAAATCAGATCTCTAATTATGGCAGCACAAAGGAGGCCAGAAGAGAAATACGTCCCTAGGACCACTATGAGGTATTTCTTGTCCTCTCTCTCATGTTAGAAGCATTCAGTCATATCCTCTTGTCTAAATCCCATCAATCCCACAGTAATTTCTGAACAAAAGCTGGTGTGCCTGGCAAGGAGACGACTAACAATCACCAGTATAAGCTACTTCTCTTAAACTCCTCAAAGTCAAGGATCCTCACATATTTTTCTCTGCCACTGATGCTGGAAATCCCTGCACCAAAAGCCTATGGGGTCAGAGTAGCTTCAAGCTCCTGCAAGTCCTTCATAACTGGCCAACTCTGCCTGTGACGGAGACAAGCCCACTGCTGGTGTCTGTTTGTACACATTCTTTGGTTACGTTTGCAGGTCCCTTCTCTGAGCAGTAGCCTGAGCTGAGACCTAAAAGACTGCAGTGAGCAAGAGCAGATCCAGGAGGAGCTAAAGCATATTTCACTTCCTCTCCATTCAAAGGCAATGGAGAGAAAAAGCACAGGGCTGTAGGACCCCAGAGCAAAGAATTTTATTTCTCCATTGCTCTCATGCAAGACCTCAGGCAAAGCCACTTCGTTCTCTGTTTCAGCTTTGAGAGTTTTGCCAGTGTTAGTGTGAAAGTGTGGATTCATTTGAGAGGGAAAGACTTTTGTGTTGTTTAGTGCCTTCATTCAGACACATTCAGTGCAGCACTATTCCCTGAGTACCCAAGGCCACCACCACTCCTTCCTACCCCACACCAGAGGTTGCACCCCATATCCACAGGCAGATGCGGAGGTATGTGACCTTCCAGAGATCTGGAAGCTCTATGAGTGCCCTCCAACGCTGGTATGCTGTCTCCAAAGCACTCTCCAGGTGGATCTGCCTGGCATACCAAGCTGTGCTAAAACAAGCACACTATCAGGAGGAAAACAGTGCGCAGCACCAACAGCATAGTTTAGACTAATCTGCAGGGATCCAAATAAGTATGTCTTGATGCAATTTGCAGGCAAGGTGTTAAGGATAAGATTCATCTCGCCTAGCTTCAGTGTCTAGAAGGTAGACAACATGACTTCCTCCATAGTTCCACTTCCAGATGGAAATAATTTAATCTATTTTGGACCTTTATCGTAGGATGCTTTCATTCTCCCTGTTAAGGTGCTTGTGCTTTGTAGACAAAGAGGTGTTGTGCTTGGCTCTCCAACATCTCTTTCCAACCAAGATACTGCACAGCTTGAGGACACATCCCTTTCCCAGGTTTATGACCTCACTGATACATAGTGGACAATCTATGCTACACATATCTATGAGGACGATAAATCATAACTTGATACTATCTAGATATCACAAGCACCACTAACTAGCAGTGTGAGCTTTCTCCCGGAGCTACACAGTCCCACAGTAGCTTTTTATTATTTTGTTGGGACTGAGGACACTGTGTACTTGGGAATTGCCCTAGGTGGAAAGACTTCACACCCATAGATGTGCTCAAAACTAGACTTGGCTCAGTAGAAATGCAACATAAAAATCATTAAAAGCATCTAAATAAAAGTAAATAAACCACAGAGGGGCATAAATAGTAGTGCTGAAAACATTATCAGACTTTTAATTTTAGCTCAAGAAAGCTGTTGAGAAAACAGTTTATCAGGAAGCCACGATTTCCTTTGCTTTATCTTCACCACTTTTGCATGCGCAACTGTTTTCTTAGACATTCACTTTGGTCCAAGTCCCGTTATAATTACTTTTCACAGTAATCAGCATTTCTCACTGACAGGAGGCCAGTCTGCAGCACTGTGGTTTTCCATTTAGAGGTCAGCTCAGAGGTCTGTGCATTCATAGAGCTGTTTTCAGATGGATTCCTCCACAGGGTGAAAGGAGAAGCAAGGACTCTGTGGGTCCACTGCAGGTAGGAAGGACCATTCCCCCTCCTCACCCTCATGTAGAAAGCAGAGTTTGTAAAGGTTGTCTTAAGCTGTATCTGTATGACTAAAGAATTGCAATTAATGCTAAATAAAACAGGTCTGAGGCTAAATGACATGACTTGGTCAAATCCATAACACACAGCACTTTGTCCTGGGTTTCTTCTGGACCATATTATGCTGCCAGTGGGGTCCTTAAAACATAATAGTCACCCTTTGTGTGTTCTTCTGTAGTTCCATGTGTTTGAAATTGTGAGGGTTGTGTTGCTGCCCATCCAGGTGGTGTTTTCATAGCATGAAAACTTTGGTAAGAATGGTTTGCATCAGGTAATGGCATGTGAGTATGTAAGTGTACAAATCCATTTGGGATAGCACTGAAATACTAGGCAATGTGGAGTGAGACAGAAAGTTTTCGGTCTTACTTGTACTGTCTCTTCGGAATGGCCACGGGCACATGCCATCTCCTGGTGGGGACTGGGACATGTCTGATGGGATGCCAACATGCAATGAAACAGCATGGATAGTGGGGAACCACTAGTCTAATCTGAGCCTGAGCCCCAGCCCTGCTTCATTTGCTAACATAGACGTATCTGCAAAAGTAAGATTGTTGTTAAGTGTTGTTAAGGCCATTTTTCACCAGAAAAGAGATGACCCAGCACCCCAAATGACACGTTCAGATGGATACTGACTCCTCAGAAAGAGTTTGCACCCCTATTTCCAGTGAAACAGTTGTGCAGGAAATAACGGGAAAAAAGGTGGCTGTTGGAAGAAGAAGTTCATTTTATCTGATGAGAAAATTACATACATAGAACTTTACACTGTTTCCTTGCAGTGAGGCGAATTTAGCAAAATCTTCACACAGTATATCTGAAAACTGATTAAAATCCCAAACCTTTAACCCTTTAACTGAAACCTTTTCCACTTACACGGGAATGAAACAGAATAAACTCCACATTTCCACACTCACATATTACTGTAGACATAAAAATATTCCTGTGGGATCACACAGTCAGAAATCACCTACTCAAGGGGATATGAATGATGACTTCAATAGAAGATGGACATAAATTTTAATTAGTTGGTTATTTGATCTTGTGTTGTTAGTGATGGAGGATCTCAGAAGGGAATTAAGTATGCTTAAGACTGAAATTGCTTAGAACCAAAACACACTGCAAGGTAAGTTGGATGCCCACTAAATTAAAAGAAAATTTGAACCAATTAGAGATAAAATAAAATAAAAATGGCAATTACAATTAACCAATCAAAAAATGCAACTGAGATCAAACCAGCTATGGGGATAACTAAATTTATCCTTTACTTAATCAGACCTGCTAAATATTTTCAAGCAAATTGAAGAAAAAGCTTTAAAATTCCTGGGAACTTTTTCTTCTGGAAGATACAATTTAGGAATAGAGAAACCAGGCCCTTTTTTTTTTTGTTGTTGTTGTTTGTTTCATTTTTTTGTTTCTTTAATGTGGTTTTCATTTCATTTCTTCTTTTATTTATATATCCTAAGCAAAGCATCTCCTGCATCATTTATATACTTTCTTGTTCTCTCTAGTATCCAAGTCTTTTCACCTACTAGGTACTACCTTATATCAGGAATACCTCTAAAGTTGTCACAGCTTCAAAAAAATAGGAAAGCAAATTATTTATTCTTTTATAGTTTTGCAATCGATAAAATTGTGCATGTGCAGCTTAACATGAGGCTGGGCACATAGGACTGCAGCCTACTTTGGAAAGTGAAGCAGGATCATGAGAAATGCATGTGCTCCAGCCAGCAATCGCCCATGCTGGGAAACTCCTGGCTCGGCACGTGGCGCAGTTTTGACTTGTGCCAGGTGTCTCATTTTTCCCTGACAAGGTCTGGGCACAGTTCAGGGGTTGGTGTAGATCGGGTACCACTGCCAATAAGCAGCAGTGGATGCAGCTACTCTTCTAGGGGACAGAGAAAATTAAGCTGCATGGGTTTGAGCCATGCCACACTATGCCAGCTGGCCTCCAGGCCAAAGAAAACTCCCATTTATTTGCTACTGTATATCCAGCTTCTACACACAAGTATTCAGACTGTGTTAGCAGTGTGTAATGAAATCAATCAGTCCTGCCTATCACTGGCATCCATTTTCCTGTTATTCTTAATTTTCAGCATTAGAAAGTTACTACCATGATCGCATATGACCTTCTTATTCTGCAGAATGTTTGTCTGAAACTGTCTGCATGATCTAAGTCACATTCTTATTTCATTTCTCCCTTCAAATCCTCCTGTAAATATAATTTCAAGTACAGCAACTAAAAGGACCAGTCCTCTTTTCTAATAAATATCAACAGATCCAGATGCAAAAACATGAACATCATAAAAAGATTCTTGTTAACTCTGAGTACCTAACACCTTTTCCTTTCATCAAAACTTCAACAGTATAGTATCAATTTACGTCCTGATCCTACATGTCTACAAGCTTAAATACATGATATCTCATACTTGAATTATTTTTTCCCTCTGTTTTCATTACTAGAATTCACTAATAATCTCAGTGCTCCACTGCCTGAGGAGGGAAGGAAGACCTGACCTCTCTTCACTAGGGGAAAAGTAAACCATCATTTAATTGCATGTTATATTACATATGTTGTTGTTCTCTTTATGTTCAAAGTAAATCAAGTTTCTAATATTCGCAGAACCGAAGTTCTCTGGGCACTTGGTTTAAAACAAAGTGAAGAAATTATGATGTTGTTGGCCCTATACGTATTTCTGCACATACAAAAGTGTATGTACACTAGTACATTATGTACATTATATATGTATATGTACATTAGTGATAATAATATGAAGGAAATGCAGTAAAGGAGCAGGAAAATCAAATGCCTTGCCATGCTTTATATTTCAAAATAGCTGTAAACTCACAATTATAATTTGGTAAGCACAATGTGAGTTCCTGGCAAAATAAAAGATCACCTCTTAACGCACACAAAAAGAATCTGAATATATGGACAGAATAATAAAAAAAAAAGTGATTAATGAATCAATAGATAATCCTGAATTTATATAAGGGTTTTATACAAGCAAACTGTGGTAGATGAATTAGAGAGAAATTTTTAGTCAAACTACTTCATTCATGGATGATTGGATTTTTAAAGATCCTAAAGTTCTTTATAAATTAAAAACTTAAAGAAGAACCTCCTATGGGTACCTATACATGGACTGAAAACAAGTGGGCAAATAGGTTCTTTGTATGTAATACAGATGTGAGAATTTGAGGGATTATTGGCCAAAGAACTGTTAACAACTTTAATCAAAGTTGCTGTGACAGCCCTAAATTTAAAAAATAAGTTCAAGCAAATGCATGTACACAGCTGTATTTAAGCCTAATGTTGAGGAATGGAGCTCTGAGGATTTGTGCAGAGTAGTTAGGACGCAGGTCGTTAAGGTCTTATCTAAAAGATAATCTCCCTACAAATTGATGGAAGCCCATTGCTCTGGTCACCCAGAACAGGACAAAGCATTGAAGAACGTGCTTCAGGAGTAATCCTCTACTGGCAGGGGAAGAGATTAAATGGCCCAGTAGCTTTTTCCATCTTTAGTTGTTATGATTGCACTGTAATCCGACTAGTGCCACTTGCCTGAAGAGGGGAAGAAGACCTCAACCTTGGGGGTAGGGAAGGACACAATATTTCATTGTGTAACAATATTTCAGATGCAATTCTTCCTGGAGAGCTCCGCTCAGATTAGTGTTGTTGGGAAAGGTTTATCATTTGCATTCCCATTTCTGCAGTCAACCCAAGTAATATGATTGTGGCATTAAACTTATCCTACAAAAGGTATTTGTTTAAGACATTTTTTTTCCATTATTACTCACACAATGAATGTATGCACTAAGTTTCTAGAAGTCTGCACCAAAAACAACTTTTAAGCCCAGAATCACATTTCCTTCTCCATCGGCCTTAATTCCTCTATTGAAACTTTTTGCTGACTAGCTGAAAGGGGCCGTTCACTCGCTTTGCAAAACCCAATATGCGATTTATTCCCACATTTCAAAGGAAGAATGGGAAGCTTTTAAATCTCTACAAAGGAACCGAGAAATACTGATCAAGCCCATCTGACAAGGGGACAGATGTAGGGTGATGAGTGAATTCTGTAAGACGCTTTAAAATTTGGATCAGTGAAGACAAGTGCCTTCCAGGAGTAGCAATTTGATTCTCCCTGGCACAGCTTATTTGGCTGAGTAGAAATGCAGCAGTTCCTCTTTCAGTCTTCAAGAAGCATAAACTCCATCTCAACAAGGTGGACATGTTGTGGTCATCAAGTGCACTGCAAAACAAGGTCATCTGCATTGTGACTTATTAGAGCCTCTAATTCAAAAAGCCTGAACAACAAATGTATTTGAAACCCTTTCTTACCCAGGAATACTCCTCTTGCTCTTCCCAGTTCTGGAACTCTGTATCAACTTTATCTATGTGTTACTCTTCTTGCCCCAAACTTTCTTAGGTTCTCTCCACTGTTGTACTACGCACTATATTTTTAACAATAATTTCTCAGACATACCCCTCTCAGCTTTTCACCACACCATGTGGTACTTCTAGCCACACAGCAACAGCATCTATCATGCTTTTAGCTCCCTGCAGAGCTGTATTTTGGTTCTTGTGCTATAACTGAAGGATCTGACTTGTTACTGTTTTGACAATGAATTTTACACAAAATTTCCTATGAGATTCATCCCATTAAAAGTGGGCAGGTTGCCATGACCTGCTGGGTCTATATCAAAGCTGGTACCTCCCTGAGCATTTCTTGTCCTTTTCTGACTTCATAAAAGGTCTTATAGGACTAGGAATATGCCCACAAAAGACAGAATAAAGATTTTGGACCCCGTAGGAAAAATGTGAGACCCAGCTCTGCTTACATCTTAAGTCCACTTCATCATTGTAGTTGCACTATGAAAATAGCCATTCTTATGGGCAAAACGGATGTAAAGAGTCAATTTAGGAGTCAGCAGTACTCTACCGTAAGAATAGTCAGGTTTTTATTCAGTTGCAAACCACTGGGGGGTTTAAGGACACAAACAGCAAGATACAAAT